GATGCACAAATATTTCTTATTAATATTAATAAGTTTACTTAATTAGATTTTAGTTTCTTAAAATGTAGTATAAAACTTATCCCTTAAAATCAAAACATTCAACAAATTGAAAATTCAATCAATTTATTAGTAATAAAAAATTATTGAGATTAATTTGATAGAAGGATTTTTGAATGCTTTGATTTTAAGAAATAGGTTGAAACATTACTTTGAATATGCAAATTATTTTGAATATGCAAATTTTGATTAAAGCTACTTACATCACTCAAAAACTAATTCAGTACTACTACAAGAATAAACTTCAGCAAATCGCATCGTATTCCGATGAATTATACTTAGCTTTTGAGAATGAAAAATATTATTTGATGAGTGAAATACTCTATTCTTGGGCTGATAGACAACAAAAAGTTAGCATTGGAACTTTATGGAGTCAGCAAAAGCACTACCGTCTCTTGGATACAATCCATCAACAGTTTGTACTTAATTAATGTTTATTTGCGTAAAATCATATAAATTTATTTATATTTCAAAAATCAAACATTTTCCCTGCTAATTAAGCAAATAAATTTATTCGCAGTGAATATAAAATAATAATTAAACAATAATAATAAATAAGTTAAATATATTTCCTCGAAGAATAAATAATGTTAAAGAAATTTACAATTATAATGATTACATTTATTAATAGGATAATTAACATATTACGAATTATGTACTGAAAATGATGATAAGCAATAGGTGAAAATATTAATTACAAAAATGACTAAGATAATCATTGTTAATTGGATAACTAATGCTATTTATTGTTCAGATTTGATTATTTTGGTGAGCTTTTGGAGCATACATTAGCTGGATTACAGTATCTGCGCGAAAAGTTTGATCATGAAGCATTTGACTTACTGTATTCAAAATTTCAACAGTTTGCTCATTATTTTTTATATTATTCAATTATTGTGTCACGGCAGCCTCCATCAGTTGTAATCAAATGTGGTGATGCAGAAAATCATCGTCGTAGTCGTTTTTGGTTCAATACTGAAATTAGGTAAAATGGCAGGATATAATTGAAAAATTTAATTTCAAATATTTGATTATAAATTGTTTTTTTTTAAATAACTAAAGTAATAATTTCAAAATTCTAAACTGTAATAATGTATAAACAATAAATTTGTGAAAAATTTTTCTGTAAAGAACGCAAGTAAACATAATTTATACTAATTAGTCAATTACAAAAAAGGTTAAAATAATTTTAACAAATTTAAAGATTAGTTTGATTTACTATCAAATGTGTGCTAAATTCACTTATAGGCAAGTAAAACTGACGTGATTAAAGAAGTTAGAAAATATTAGATTTACTTTAAATTCTTTAATAATAGATGAAAAAGCAAAAGTGACAAAAAAAGTTCGTGAAGCAGAATGTTCAACGAATGCTTGTTTAGAAGTTAATGAATCAAAATTATGATTTCTTGTTAGATTTCTATAAATTAATAAAATAATAAACTTTTATCAAAATTACCATTTTTAATACTTTTGATTTTATCATTGCTGAAACGAAATTTTTTTGCTAAACTTTTTGGCTAACAGTTTTTAGAATTCGCATGAAAGTTACTGTATTTGAGTACTGACAAATTCTTTAATCACTTAGCAAAATATTATTTTCATTTACATAAAGTTTGTTTTGTTCACAAATATAAATAAGCAAATATTCATTTCAGTTTTTAATTTCTTAAAGTGAATTTTCAAAAAATTATTGCATAATTTTTGAAAACAAATAATTGGCTAAGTTAAATTTTGATCAAACTTTTTAAACAAACAAATTCTAAAATAAAATATAATTAAATAAAACAAATAAATATTTTTAAATTAAACTAGTGCTTATTAATGATATTTATTAAATGATCATAATGTATTTGTAGAATTCTTGGAGGTCGAGCATTTGGTCTTGATGTGCATGGCAGAGATAGTGAAGTTCAGTGTTTTTTGATAACGGATGACACAGCCCGCCAACTTTTAACAAATGCTTATTATAATGTGTAAGTTTGCTTAAGTATTTTATTTAAATTAATTTTAATTTTTTTCAAAATATATTTTTATTTTAAAAATTATTTTTGAGGTTTGATAATGAAGAATTCTTAATAGAGCCAACAACTGCGATATTTGCTTTGAAAAATGAGCAAGGCCTGAAAGCCAAATTTGATGATATGGTATGCTTTTGTAATATTCTTCCATTATAAAATTGAAAATAAAGGTTTTTAGATTTTTGAAAATAATAAAAATTTAAAAATTTTGAAAAAACTTTTTATTTAATAGTTATTTTATACCGTAGTATTATATAAAATGGATATTCAAGTAAATAATAAATAATATATGCAAGTAAATAATATATGCATAATAATATGAAATTTTTATAAAATTTATCTGTTGAATATATTTTTTTGGTGTTTTGATCTTGTTGACTTTATTATTCATCACGTGGGAAAAGAATATTTTTATTACTTTTAAATTATTTTTATATTATTTAAATATTATGAGTATCAGATTTTGAATGGAGGAATTAATTTTGATCTAAAAATACAAAATTTATGTTTAGAAGTATTAATTAATGTGTTTCTAAATGATTACTGTAAGGCAATATTATTCATACGGTCTATACAGTATTGACTATTAATCAATTAAAAATTACTGTACTAAATTTTTTAGCAATGTTTGAAAAATTTTTTAATTGTTTACGTAAATATGCTAATGCTTCTTTTTTATGTTAATTTATATATTTTATTCAGAATTTATTTCAGAGAGTAATTTATACAATATGAATTTAATAGATTTTTTTCAAAAAATTTATTTATTTTCCTAAATTATTTCGATTTTTTTCAGTAGCTAATAATGTGAGACAAAGAATTTTAGAAAAGAATATTAAAAAAATGCTCATAAAGAAGTTTAATTATTTTTTAAAAGGTCAAATGTTAATAGTTTAAATAACATTCTAGCGTGTTTCAAAAAAAGGTCAGTTAAGAAGGGATTCTGTGGCTACAAAGCGATACTGTCTTTGTTACAATATTCAGATGCAAGCATCACATGGCATTACTTTGGTTGGCAAAAAAGTTTCTCTACCATTTGCAATTTTGGTAGGGCCAAAAAGTGACGTTGAAGCACGTTTATTTCTCGAGAGATCTTTTGCTGATTTGGTAATCAATTGTTTATTCAAATTTTAATTTTAGGTTTAATCTGTTTTTAATATCTAACAATTCAAATATTTGGTTATATTAATAAAAATTATGATCTTTTAACACAAAAATGGAACAAATATGCCACCTAACATGCCAAATTTGCGATTATTTATCAAGATATTGTCTTTTATCTTATCAGTTCAGATATTTGCATATACTATCACAAATTATAGTAATTTTGAATGCATAAAAAGTAATTTCAGGATTAAAAATATTTATTTTTGATTTTTTGCAAAATTTTGAATGGCAAAGTTTTAAATATTAATTTTAGGTTAAACGGCCACTTAGTGAAATGCCACAAAGCGTACATTTCAGTAAAATGGCAGAAGCATTGGAAATGAAATTTCAAGTATTTATTCAAATTTTATCGTACATTCCAACTTTTTTTATTCATTCAAATTTTATAGTATTAATGTTTCATGCAGAAATGTGAGCAAAATTTTATAATAATTTAATTGGTAATTTTTTTTTGCACTTTTTAATTTGATTAATTTAATTATTATTTCGAGTTATTAATATTTCAAATTAAATGATAGTTTGTTTTTATTCGTTGATATCAGTTATTAATCAAAGTTATGAATTCAGTTTATGATTGAATCAAATAACGATTCTAATTACACTTTTGCAAGATTATAAATAAAATTATTTTTTTTCAAATATTTCGAACAAATTGACATTAAATATTCAACCAAAAAGTTATTTTGATGGTTTTATTTAATTAATTATAATAATTAAATATTTTAAACAAAAAATTCCGTTTCAGAATTGATTTTTGTCATTAAAAGTATTGCAAAACTAATTGTATTTAATACTTAAAATAACGAAAATATAAAAATTTTGAGAAGCGTTTCTTCCAAATATTATTTTTATAAAACAAAGCAGACAACACAAATAATTTTGACTTTTTATGATTTTTAATGAATAAAAATATGAATTAATCTATTATTAAAATTATAGTCTGACAAAAATTTTTATATTAATCGTAATTTTTAATTAATTTGAATACACTTCATATATTTGTAGGCAATTGTTGAAACAGCCCAAAAACCTACTGATGAGCCGTTAATAATCCAACCCAGAATGTTTACCTCAAAAGTATGATAATTCAATACTTGAAAACTGTAAATCATTATTCGATAAACTAACTGGTCATTATCAATTATTTTTGATCAAATATTTCAGACTTAACTGTTGTGCAAACTTTTCGCATAAATTCTAACAAAGTAATCATGAATTTAGCTTTTAAAAGATTTGTATAGTTTAATTTTAAAATCATTTATGCTAAAAAATTTTTAAAATTCCGAAAAAGCATAAATTTTTAATATTTTTTAATAAAACTAAGATTTACAGGAAAAAGAACATATAATTTTACGTTTGAAGCCAACTGCAGATGGACAAATTGTATTAGAGAACTTTTTAAAAGTATCGCATTATTTTGCTCATTTTTTAATTTCTAATATTTGTTAATAGATGATTTGTTTGTGTAAATCACATTTTTATATTTTAATAAGTTAAAATATTAATAGTTAACGATTTAAGAAATAAAATTTACGAAAATGTTAAGTAAATTAAAATAAAAATTTATTGTTATATATTTTGCCTCTAAAAAATATGCAAAAGTTTTCTAAAATTTTTCAAATTTTAAATTTTAATTTTTTGCAAAATTTTATCTTACTATTTTTATAACATTGAAGAAATTGAATTAATCTAATTAAATCAAAAAACTTTTACACTCCTTTGATACTTTTTAAATTTTTTCGAAATTTTTAAACTTTTCAAACTTTTTTGATTTTTCTAATAGTGATTTTTTTGCACCACAAAGTTTAATTATTTTATTGCTTAAACTATTCCTCATATTGTTTCTTTGTCATTAATTAATTAATTTATATTTTTTGATGTTTTTTTTTTCAATTTTTCATAAAATTTTTATAATTTTAGCTAGCAGTTTGTCAAGAATATACAACCAAAAGAGCATCAAGTGAAGGTGAATGGAAACTTGTAGCATTTTTTGATTGGTTTTTCAAAATTGCTGAAATTATCAATAAATATCTTTATCAGATGTGGACAGATGGGTAAATTCATTAATATTATCAGTACTGATATAATCATTTGCAGTTTTCAACACTGTGATTATTAATTTGACCTCTATAACTTCATTACCATTCTAATTTACTTGTAATATTTATGTTGTTAATTTCAGTAATGCCTGAAACCAATTCTTCATTTCAATTGAAAATTAAATTTTTGATTTGAAAAGTTGAAAATTCCACTAAAGAATTGTAAAATCGAAGAGTAAAAAGACGATAAAAGTGAAAAAAAATGATAAACTTAAATTAAATATCAAAATTAAGCAAATACTTTGAAATGCAAATTTTCAACAAAATAAAATAAGGTTAATAATTTTGATTTAGATAAAGCAACCGATTATTTGATTTGAAAAAGTCTTATTTTCACTTTAAATTCAAAAATTTTTAAGTATTAAATGAATTTTGCGCTTTGAAATGCACAAATTAGTAAGATTAATTTCGAATATGATTCGCTAAATTTATAATGTACTAAAATCGTACTAATTAACTCATTAACTAGTATTTATTTTCAGTTTAATATATGGATTCTGCGGTAAGGACGAAGCGGAAAATTTGTTACGTATGTGCTCGCGTTCTTGTTTACTCATACGGTTCTCAGATGTAGAATATGGTAAAATAAAGATAAGTGTTCGATACCGTAATGGAGGTTTGTACACTTATTTTTTTAAATATTCATTTATTTCCAGTGAAACTTAAGCTTTTATTAACTGTGATAGCATTTAAAATAACATTTCATTTATTACTTGAGCAGAAATCATATCAATCGCATAACGTTAATTACTGTAATTAAAGTAAACTTAAAATTAATTAACAGATTAAAGCAAATAGTGACATAATGTTAGGTTACTAACTTCCATGATATAAATAGTAATAATAATACTAATTGAACTTTAAAAATTTATCAACTTTTAATGACAAAAATTTTTT